ATAATGCTTCACACAAAGATCACACATGCATAATCATCCAGGACACAAGATCACAACAATGATATCTTCACAGTGACCAACACAATGACCACCACATCACATGAATATCTTCCAGGATCCACAACACAATGATATCTTCCAGGACACAATGACACAATGATAATCTTCCACACACAAGATCAACCAATGATAATCTACCAGGCACAAGACACCAATATAATCATCCAGGACACAAAGACACCAAAGATAATCTTCACAGACACAAGACACCAATATAATATCCCAGACACAATGACATCAATGAATAATCTTCCAGGACACAAGACATATGCTAACTCCAGGACACAAACACATGATAATTTCCAGACACAAAGACCCTCAATAATAATATTCCAGACACAAATGACATCAATATTAAATATTCCAGACACAAGACACACAATGAATATCATCCAGGACACAATGACCACACACAGATAAACATTCCAGATGACACACAACGACATGACCACACATGATACTCCCAGGACCAAACACAATGATACATCCAAGGGACCCACAAGCACATCAATGATAATCTTCCAGGACACAAGACATCAATGATAATCTTCCAGGACACAGACACCATGATAATCTTCCAGGACACAAGACACAGTGATAATCTCTCCAGTGACACAAACATCAATGATTATCTATCCAGGACACAAGACAATCAATGAATAATCATTCACAGGATCCACACGACATCAATGATACTCTTCCAGGACACAAGACACAATATGAATCTTAACCAGTGACAAACAAGAGACACCAATGATAATCTTCCAGGACACAGACATCATGATAATCTTCCAGGACACAAGACACAATGATATCTTCACAGGACACAGACAATCAATGATAATCCTTCCAACACAGACATCAATGATCCAACACACAGAAGACACAACACACAATGATATCTTCCACGGACACAAGACCACATGCACATAATTCCAGCACACACACATGATCACATCACACAGATGATCCCCACAGAATCTCCACACAACACACAATGATCACAACACCAGGACACACACACACATGATGATCCCAGACACAAGACACACAATGATCACACACACAGGACACAACACACCAATGATCCACACACATTCCAGGCACACACAGACCAATGATCACACACACAGAGACCCAAACACAATGATCAACACACAGGACACAACGACATAATGATACTCCAGGCACACAAAGTCACAACACAGATAATTCTATCCAGCACACAAGATGCACACAAATGATCATAATGCTATCCAGTACATAGACATACAATAGTATCATACCAGGAGAACAAGACACAGTGATACATTTCCAGTGACTACTAAACGATCCAAAATGATATTCTTTCCAGGAACACATAGACACAATGATATTACTTCCGATGATCACATAGACACCAATAAATCTTCCAGAAGCAATACAACAAGTAGTCATCAATGATATCTATCCATAAGAACCCAAAAAATGACACCAATTTATCACACAGGATCACACACACATGATGATCCACACCTTCAAGGACACAGCACCAAGATATCCCAACAAAAGACCCCCAAAGATAACCCAGGACCAAACACAAGAAATCTCCAACACAAGACACAAGATATCCCAACACAGAAAACCAATGATAAACTACCCAACACCAAGAATTCCCCAAACAAATCCCAGGACCACACACACAATGATAACCCAGGACACAAGACACCAATGATAACCCACACAAGACACAAAAAATCCCCAACACAAACACACAAGAAATCCCAACACAAGACACAATGATTATCCCCAACACACAACACCAATGATAACCCAACACACACAAGAAATCATCCAAACACAAGACACAAATGATAACCAAGGGCACAAACACAAATTTATAATCTGTCAGGAACACAAGACCACCAATGATAATTCCATACACAAGACACAATATATCATTAGGGCACAGACACAATGATAACCCAACATAGACACCAATGATAATCATCAGACACAAGACCCCAAGATAATTTCCAGACACAAGAATTCAATGAAATTCCCAACCAAATAATTTTCCAACACAAAATGAAACTCCAGGACACAAACCCCAAGTAATATCTCCAAAACAAGACAACCAGTTTAATCTTCAGAACCAAGAATCAATATAATTTCCAAGGGAAAACGAAAAAGGGATAACCAATAAAATTCCCAAAAAGAAAACCCCCAAGTAAACTTAAAAGGACACAAACCAATGATAAAACTTTAGGACACAAGCACAAATAATCCCAGGACACAAAGACATCGAATCCCAAACCCCAAGGCACCAAGAATCCCAACCAAAGACCAAAGAAACCCAAACCCCTTTTAATTTAGAAAAAAAAATAAACCAAGGGAAAAAAACCCCTAAATCCCAAAAAAAAAACCCATGGGCCAAGCCCCCAAAAATCCTTAACCAAGTTATAAACCCCAAGGCCAAACAAATTTCCACACAACAAATGATCCACAACCGATAATCCCCACACAAATGACCACAAACACAAAGAAATTTTCCCCAAAAAAAATGAAACCCACACACACAGAATTCCCCCACACATAATGATCCACACAACAAATGGAAATCCACACAAAAACAAGAAATCCACACAACAAATGCCCCAAACACAACAAATGAACCAACACAAAAAAATGACCCCAACACAAATGATCACCACAAATGAAACCAACAACATAAAGAAAAAAACAACCCAAAATTCCACAACAAACACCCAAACCCAAAAACCACCCAAAATTTCCACACCCAGAATATCCAAACCCCAAAAGAATATCCACACACAAGGAATAAACCAAACCCCAACCAGGGTCCAACACAATATTTTCCACCACACAGAAAAACCAAACACAAAATTTCCCACCAAACACAAATGATCCAAAAACACAAATGACCAACACACAAAAAAGATCCCCCCCCAACCAAATGAATCCACACACACAGAATTCCCCAAAAAAACAACACAGAATGATCCCCACACACAGATACCAACACACAAATATCCACACAACAAAAGAAACCCAACACAGAATTCCCCAAAAAATTCCACACAAAAAAATGAAAAACCCCACACACAGAATGCCCCCAAAACCAGAATGACCCCAACAAGAAAAAAACCCAAAAAAAGTATTTTAAAAAAAAAGAACCCAAAAACCAAAAAACCCAAAACCAAGAATAAAAATTTTAACAAAACAAAAATTTCCCAAAAAAACAAACCAAAAAAAAATCCCAAAACAAAAAAATGATTTTCCCCCCAAAAAAAACAGAATTTAAAAAAAACTGATAACCCCAGGGAAAAAAACCCAGGGAAAAACCCAAAAAACCCACACAAGAAATTTCCCCAAAAAAAAAAAAAAAATAATTTCCCAAAAAGCACAAAAATTTCCAAAAAAATTAAATTTTAACAAAAAGACACAAAATTTTCCCACAAGAACAAAAATCCCAACAGACCCAAAAACCAAAAGACACAAAAGAATTTTAAAAAACAAAATTTTAAAACCAAAAACCCACAAACCAAATAAATTTTTTCCCCAAATAAAAAAACCCCCCAAAAATAAATTTTTTTACCAAAAACAAAAACCCAAAAAACAAATTTAAATTTAACCCAAAAAACAAAAAATTTGGGCCCCCAAAAAAAATTTTAAAAAAACCAAGAAACCCAGACCCCAAAAAAATAATTTCCCAAACCCAAAAAGAAATTTAAAAAAAAACAAAACCCAGGCCAAAACAAAAAACCCCACAAGACACAAAAATTTAAAAAAAACAAAAATTTCCCAAAACAAAAAAACAAATAATTTCCCCCAAAAAAAACAATTAAACCAAAACAAAAGAAACCCCAAAGAAAATTTTTCCCGGAAAAAAAAATTTACCCCCAAAAAAACCACCACACAAAATATTTTAAAACAAACAAAAAAATCCCAAAACAACACAAATGAAACCCCCAGGAACCCAAAACACAAAATGATTTCTCCCCCAAAAAACCAAAACAAAATTAAAACCACAAAACCACAAAGAAATTTAAAACCAACCAAATAACCCCAAAACAGAAAAAAACCCGGAAAAAAAATTAAAACCCCGAACCCAAAACCCAGAAAAACCCAAAAAACCAAAATCTCCACAAAATATTTCCCAACCAAAAAACAATGCCCCAACACAAACAAAAATCCCAAAAAACCAACAAATTTTTCCGGGAAAAAAAAATTAATTTCCCAACACAAAAAAATGGAAAAACCTAAAATAAAAATTTTCCCACAAACACATAAATTTTAAACAAACACCAATGAAAAACAAGAAATGAAAACCCAACAAAAAAAATAAATTTTTCCCCCAAACACCAAATTTTTCCCCTCGATATCTCCATTTAAGAACCCCTACCGATACACAGAATGATCCACACACAGATGATCCACACACACAGAATGATCCACACACACAGAATGATCCACACACAGAATGATCCACACACACAGAATGATCCACACACAGAATGATCCACACACAGATGATCCACACACACACACACACACACAATGATCCACACACACACACGCACACACACACAGAATGATCCACACACACACACACACACAATGATCCACACACACACACGCACACACACACAGAATGATCCACACACACACACACACACACACACACACACACAATGATCCACACACACACACGCACACACACACAGAATGATCCACACACACACACACACACACACAATGATCCACACACACACACGCACACACACACAGAATGATCCACACACACACACACACACACACACACACACACACACACACACACACACACAACACACACACACACACACACACACACAACACACAACACACACACACACACACACACACACACACAGGATCACAACAACAGAGATACTGACCAGTGCTCCTCAGAAGGTGTTCCAGCATACGTCCAGGGGCCATTTATCGTCCAGCCAACAACTGCAACACAAATATACATTATATAGACATTAAATATACATTATATATACATTATATATACATTATATATACATTATATATACATTATATACACATGGATAGGCATAATTTGAAATCCAAAATTCTTAGGCGATTTGAAAATCCCAATAACCAAAATAATTCTTTTGCCTGAGTAATTATAATAAGAAAATACAACAAACTCTCCAGAAAGTCTAAATTATTTCTAAAATTACGTTTAATTACGTTTTTTCAATACATTAAAGTTCATTAACCAAATATATAATAATATATATTAGTCAAAGTGGCAGAAATGGGGCCATTTTTTCGGCCATTTGTCCCCCCCCCTTTCCAAAAATGTGGAATTCGAGAGGTAATCGGGAAAGTGTTTCTGGTTCCTGCATCTGGATCACATTGTGAGTCAAGGAACGGGACGGGGTTTAAACCCATGGCCAGTGAGTTGTAGACAGGCCAGTGCGTTAACCACTGTACTAGTCAGCTCTAAGATTCCTCAGACTAGGTACACTTGTATACATGTTAGGAAGGTTAGCATGGGCCGCCACTGTGACCTCAAGTACAGGATTTTTTACAGATGAGTCACCATATACTTGTGGTTACAGTGGTGGCCCAGGCTAACCTTCCTATGATATACCTTTGATCAGGTTCAAATTTTACTACTCTCAGAGCCCGGCCATGGGTCAGGCTCGTCTCGTGCTAGCCTGGTCAACCTGGCTGTTGCTGCTAAAGGGCTGCTGAACAGAAATATAATCTCTCCACAGCTTTTCACACGACCCACCAACCCACCCAACACGACCCACCAACCCACCTAACAGGACCCACCAACCCACCCCAACACGACCCACCAACCCACCCAACACGACCCACCAACCCACCTAACAGGACCCACCAACCCACCCAACACGACCCACCAACCCACCTAACAGGACCCCACCAACCCACCCCAACACGACCCACCAACCCACCCCAACACGACCCACCAACCACCCCAACACGACCCCACCAACCCACCTAACAGGACCCACCAACCCACCCAACACGACCCACCAACCCACCCCAACACGACCCACCAACCCACCCCAACACGACCCACCAACCCACCCCAACACGACCCACCAACCCACCCCAACACGACCCACCAACCCACCCCAACACGACCCACCAACCCACCCCAACACGACCCACCAACCCATCCCAACGCGACCCACCAACCCACCCCAACGCGACCCACCACACCACCACAAACGCGGCCCACCAACCACCCCAACGCGACCCAAACCCAAACCCCCCCCAACGCGACCCATCAACCCACCCCAACGCGACCCACTAACCCACCTCAACGCGACCACCAACCCACCCCAACGCGACCCACCAACCACCCGAACGCGACCCACCAACCCACCCAAAAACGCGACCCACCAACCCCCCCTAACACGAAACCCCCCCAAACGACCCACCAAACCCCCCCACACGACCCACCAACCACCCCAACACGACCCACCAACCCCCAACACGACCCACCAACCCACCAACCCACCCCAACACGACCCACCAACCCACCCCAACACGACCCACCAACCCACCACAACAGACCCACCAACCACCCAACACGACCCACCAACCCACCCCAAACCGACCCACCAACCACCCCAACACGACCCACCAACCCACCCCAACACGACCCACCAACCACCCCAAAAACGACCCACCAACCCACCCCAACACGACCCACCAACCCACCCCAACACGACCCCCCAACCACCTCCCAAAACGACCCACCAAACCCCCCCAACACGACCCACCAACCACCCCAACACGACCCACCAACCACCGCAACACGACCCACCAACCCACCCCAACACGACCCACCAACCCACCCCAACACACCCACCAACCCCCCCCAACACGGACCCACCAACCCACCCAACACGACCCACCAACCACCCCAACACGACCCACCAACCACCCCACACGACCCACCAACCCACCCCAACACGACCCACCAACCCACCCCAACACGTCCCACCAACCCACCCCAACACGACCCACCAACCACCCCAACACGACCCACCAACCCACCCCAACACGACCCACCAACCACCCCAACACGACCACCAACCACCCCAACCGACCCACCAACCCACCACAACACGACCCACCAACCCACCCAACACGACCCCACCAACCATCCCAACCGACCCACCAACCCACCCCAACCGACCACCACACCCACACCACAACCCACCGCAACACGACCCACCAACCCACCCCAACACGACCCACCAACCACCCACAACGACCCCCACCAACCACCCAACACGACCCACCAACCCACCCCAACAGCGACCCACCAACCCACCCCAACACGACCCACCAACCCACCCAACACGACCCACCAACCACCCCAACACGACCCACCAACCACCCCAACACGACCCACCAACCCACCCAAACAGCGACCACCAACCCACCCAACTACGACCACCAACCCACCCCAACACGACCCACCAACCCACCCCAACACGACCCACCAACCACCCCAACACGACCCACCAACCTCCCCAACACGACCCACAACCAACCCAACACGACCCACCAACCACCCCAACACGACCCACCAACCACACCCAACACGACCCACCAACCCACACAACACGACCCACAACCACCCCAACACGACCCACCAACCACCCCAACACGACCCACCAAACCACCCCCAACACGACCCACCAACCCACCCCAACACGACCCACCAACCACCCCAACACGACCCCCAACCACCTCAACACGACCCACCAACCACCCCAACACGACCTAACCAACCACCCCAACACGACCCACCAACCCACCCCAACACGACCCACCAACCACCGCAACACGACCCACCAACCACCCCAACACGACCCACCAACCACCCCAACACGACCCACCAACCACCCCAACACGACCCACCAACCACCCCAACACACCCACCAACCCACCCCAACACGACCCACCAACCCACCCCAACACGACCCACCAACCACCGCAACACGACCCACCAACCACCCCAACACGACCCACCAACCCACCCCAACACGACCCACCAACCCACAACAACACGACCCACCAACCACCCAACACGACCCACCAACCACCCCAACACGACCCACCAACCACCCCAACACGACCCACCAACCCACCCAACACGACCCACCAACCCACCCCAACACGACCCCCCAACCCACCCCAACACGACCCCACCAACCCACCCCAACACGACCCACCAACCACCCAACACGACCCACCAACCCTCCCCAACACGACCCACCAACCACCCAACACGACACCAACCACCCCAACACGACCACCAACACACCCCAACACGACCCACCAACACACCCCAACACGACCCACCAACCACCCCAACACGACCCACCAACCCACCCCAACACGACCACCAACCACCCAACACGACCCACCAACCCACCCCAACACGACCCACCAAACACGACCCCACCAACCACCCCAACACGACCCACCAACCCAACCCAACACGACCCACCAACCCACCCCAACACGACCCACCAACCCACCCCAACACGACCCACCAACCACCCCAACACGACCCACCAACCACCCCAACACGACCCACCAACCCACCACAACACGACCTTCCAACCCACCCCAACACGACCACCAACCCACCACAACCACGACCCACCAACCCACCACAACACGACCCACAACCCACCACCAACACGACCCACCAACCACCACAACACGACCCATCAACCACCCCAACACGACCCACCAACCCCCCCCAACACGACCCACCAACCACCCCAACACGACCCACCAACCACCCAACACGACCCACCAACCACCCCAACACGACCCACCAACCACCCCAACACGACCCACCAACCCCCCCCAACACGACCTGAACAAGAACCAACCCCAACACGACCTATGACTCACACCGAACGACCGACACCGACTACCCACCTACATACTCGACCACCCTGAACCCCTTTACACCGACCACCAACACCCACCACAACACGACCCACAACCCCCCAACACGTGACCACACCTAGCAGTACCAACACTCGACCCACCAACCTCCCTTACCACCAGCATACCACACCAACACTCGACACCACACCACCCGTACACGACACCACTACCACACCCTAACCGTACACCTGAACCACCCAAGCAGTACCCACCCACACCACACCCAACACGACCCACCAAACCACACCGCGTACTCGTACACCTGCACCTTACACCTACCTCAACCACGACCCACCAGAACGTACCGAAAACACTGACCGTCACCTAGCTACTCTGATACACGGACTCACACCGACCCGTAGACCGACTGACCATACACCCTAAACACGTCACACACGAACCCACCCAACACGACCTTACCAACCACCCCAACACGACCCAACAACCCACCCAAACGACACGACCCCAACACCACCACCCACCCCAACACGACCAACCACGACCACCCAACACGACCCACCAAACACCCCAACACGACCCACCAACCACCCCAACACGACCACCAACCACCCCAACACGACCCACCAACCCACCCCAACACGACCACCAACCACCACAACACGACCCACCAACCACCCAAACGACCCACCAAACCACCCAACACGACCCACCAACCCCCAACACGACCCACCAACCCCCCAACACGACCCACCAACCCTCCCCCAAAACGGGCCCCCCCAACCACCCCAACACGACCCACCAACCACCCCAACACGACCCCCCAACCACCCAACACGACCCACCAACCCACCCAACACGAACAAACCCAAACCCCCCCAACACGACCCACCAACCCACCCCCCAACACGACCCACCAAACCCACCCCAACACGACCCACCAACCCCCCCAACACGACCACCAACCACCCCAACGACCCAACCCACCCCAACACGACCCCCCAACAAACCCCCAAAACGACCCACCA